TCATCGCACTCCACACGGGAGGCTTGGGCTGATTGTGAACTGAGGATTCTTATGTTGGAGGCAACCAAAGGAATAAACCTCCCAATTTCCTAGTGTGCTGCTTTCTCCCCCTGCTCAGCAAAGTCCAGGGGATTGGGAAGGAGTGGAGTGCAGTTGGGTGGTTTCCTTAAAAGAACTCAAAGGAGAGAATGAGAAGAGAAAAGCGGGAAGACGTATGGTGGTTCCCGCTGTGTTCGCTTGGCCCCTCAGCTTTTCTCTGCGTTCTGTTTATTAGACTTCTCAGTATCATTTTCATGTAAGGATCCCCTAGCACTTGACAATAAAAGCAAGAACTTTCCTATGGAATTAAAGGGCTAAGGGAGGAACTGCTAGTGTTATTTTCTAAGTACAACCTTAGAGAAATAGGTTTTGAACAATGCATCTCAAACTCTTCATATCTGTGATGGCTCATTTCAATGAGCATGTGAAACTGACTTTTGTCCTGACTACTGTCTGTCAATGGAGCACAGAGCTATGAGGTCCTTCATGGGAGGACAACTTGTGGCTGGCAAGAGGATGGAGTCACGTCAAGGGAAGATCTAGGTTCTTAGAAACACATGACAAGTTGTTGTCAAGAAATTATAATATCACTGACCAGGACAGTAAAGCGTCCCTTCAAACCTTCAGCGGTGAGGGTAACCTCATGGCTACCAGACTGAGGAAAGCTTCCTTTTTAAATTTCCTGAAACTGGCATTCCTGCCTTATTAATGTTCACCATTATGCCTGTCAGTCATGCTTATAAAAAGCTAGTGAATGAAAGAGTGTGGAGAATATAGGTCATCTGAGAACCACTGTGAGACATGGTATAAGGAGCTGGTACCCAGAATTGCTCTGAAATATAGCAACTCCCTTCCCCTCAGAGTACACATGGCATCTGTCCCTTGGGTGCACCCAGACGTTCAAGACTCCAGAAACTGGCTCTGTCACTGGGCTCAATACCTCCCCTCTCCCACCTCTTTCCCTCTGCATGTCCACAGTTCGTATACTTTCCTTCAGACTTTCTATTTCCCAACCTGCTTTTTTGCCCACCTCACCGCTTTATTTGGCCATGCTGTGCTGCCAGTGAGGGTCAGTTTGGCATTAAGAGGCCAGTTCTGGAGCCCCAGGAGGGGTGACCACCTTGACTCTACTCAGTTTCAGATACTGTTCCCCTAACATGACTTTAGAACCCATGCAAAGCCCATAGGAATGAACTTGGATGCCCAGAAGCAGCTCATGGATGCAGAACATTGTACACAGAGGTAATTTCTTCACACTTCTCTGGCAAGTTCACAGCAGTAAGGTGGGCAGTTGATTGTTGGCTGGATGATACTGCTGGAGAGTCAGGGCTTGTAGGAGCGTGTTCCATCAAAAGTCATTACTAGTGTGAGTTCTTCTAAGACTCAGGTCAGGGGACATGATGTGGGCTTCAAAGCCTTGAGTCCACAGGGCAAACGAAATGATCTAGAGCTCACTCAGAACTGCAGGGATGATTTAGGCTTTGGGGGACTGAAGCAGAACTATTCTTGTTTACTTCCGCTCTTAGGGCATTTGATGTATAAGACTTTAGCACAAAGAACTTGGGGGACATCACCAATGGGAGGGTCAAGCCTCAGTTGAGAGCATCTGTGCTGCAAAGTTAACAGGCTGGAAAGGGAGTGCCAGAGATTCCTTCGATAGTTAGAAAAAAGGTAGAGCAAAATGTCTTCACATATAATTAATGAGGAACCGAACTGCTATTGCAGTGATGATATTACATCTGAATAATAAACTCTTCCTTCAATGGCTGTTAGTGAAATTGTTATAGTATCTTTACACAATCAAACCAACATCTTAAACATTCTCTTATCATTTTGTTAGTTCTCAAATGTCAATGATGATTGGCATTTTCTTCTTACACTATTTAACTGCAAGAGTGAGCACATATGGTGATAAGCCAACATCTTAGACACAGGAAACACATCAGCCCTTTCTCCCCTTCATGCTGACACTCCCCACCTCCAGCGCTTGGCAGCTCCTCTCCTGAGCTGGGTAAGACACTCATGCCCTCAGGTTGTCAGGCAGTCGCCCCTCCTCACTTAATAAGAGGAAACTGTTCTTGAGGAGTTGCTAAACGAGAACTCCCTAGGAGGATGTGGGATCCACGAAGCAGACCAGTTTGCTGTGGTTGATGTTGGTGCTCACTTCACAGCCTCATTTAGTGTGCCTCATTTAGGCAGGTGGTAGGGCAAACTTGAGCTACCAGGCACGTTGTCCTGCAGAGCGTTCATTTACTCACTCTCTCACTGAGGCTAAACACCATATTAGGTATATGGGGTAAGTGTACAAAACCAGACATGATGCCTGTACTCATGGACTTTGCACAATAGGGGAGGCAAGTATTAATCAGTTTCACAAATGGATGATCAGAAAAAAGAGATCAGGATTTATAAAAGTCCTTATAAGAGGTAAGGACTATGGGGTGTGGGGGGATTAGAGAATCTGCAAATGGTGGGAAAAACTGATCAAAAGAGTGAGGAAATTACCCTCTTCCCATGAAGTGGCATTTTTCTGAGTTCCGAAAGATAGGCAGGACCTCACTGGGTGATTTGGGTTTGGGGTGTGGGGGGAGAGAAAGGAGAGTCCCTGGCAATGGGAGGGAGCACCCCACATTAGGAAACCATTACGGGGTCACAGTCCCTGGAGCACAGAAAATGTTGGAGGGAGTAGGTCTAGTCTGAAGGTGTTTGCCTTTATTCTAAGCAGTGACAAGACATTGTTCAGATTTGGGTTTTGAAAAGGCCATTCTAGCTGCAATATAGAGAATGGGTAACAGAGATGAATGGAGTGGGGTGGGAAGACACAAATAATCCACCCCTTCTTGGCTGCTCTCTTGGATTCTCTGGGGCAGAACTCATTTCAGTCAGGATGTTGGTTTCCACATAAATGCATTTCTCTGTGGAGTCATCTGCCTGGTTTTTTGGAAACTAAGGTCAGGATGGTGTTCTGATCCTCTATAGAAAGGACATGTTAAAACCTGTTCAAAGACAACCTGTGTCCAGGAGAAGCGGATGTCCCCAGTTCCACCACCACCTGTGCGTTCAGTTACTACCTTGGGGAGTTTTCTGAGAAACATTTCCACATTTACAAATTACAAGTGTCAAGGGAGCCTCATTTATATTATACAAGATGACAAGAGTTTCTAGAGCATCCATCATGTAACTAGCCTCTTATGTTCAGCTTGGAAAATAATTGCCTGACTAACCTATTTTCATACCCACACGCTATCTCAGTCTATCCTTGTTTTAAGAAAACAACCTGTACAGCACAGCCTTGGAGGGGGAAATCCACGTCATTGCATTGAAAACGAAACACTGCTGGAATCCTTTATGGTCCTATCCTGATCCTTCAGCATCAGCTTCTGCCTCACGTGATAATTAGGCATCAGATGTAGACTGTGTGATCTCCCACAATAGCTTTTAAAGGGGGTCTGGATTTAATGAAAGGCACCCATCCCATGTGGAGCTTTTGACAGAGAGCTAAGTGTCTCATATCTCAGTGTCTCCTCATCTCAGGTAACCTGGGGCTGGACTCAGTACCTTCAGAGTGAACAAATATCCAATTGGTTTTTCTCTTCTCTTGGGTTGTCTTTAATTTGGTCCTTCTTTCTGATTGTCTACCATGACCATGTATTGTTTTTAGTCAGTTACTCAGTGTACTAAAAACTATTTTAATCTGAGTATAATCCTAGTGGTGAAATCTCTACCCTACCCAGAAAATGGTCACGTGGATCAATGGAAGAGAGATCTGGCAACAATTCAAGTCACTCCCATTACATCCAGGGTGGGTGAGATTGGCTTTGGCCCCCACTGTTCTGTGAATGCTCCTTTGAGCTGGGACTATTATGAAAATCATCTTCCAGAAAAGGGAGGCCTGGGATTTTAATTAAGACTGTGCCATCTATATCCTGGATGATCTCTTCCTATTTGAAGTCCTTCTTCAGCTGGTGTGAGTGAGTGACACATCACTGCTACCCATTTAAAAGCCAGGTGATGGGGGTTGGCAATAGAAAAGGCAAAGTCCACATTCTGAAGGTGTCTTAAAACTGTCCTATGTTACAAAGATAGGACATTTTAGTTCATGATGTCCCTTGCCATATATTACCTCACTTAAGTCTGTACAGAAAGCATCAGAGATGATTATTATCTGGAGAAGGAAACAGACCCAGTATACTAGGGACTTGTTCAATGTCACCCAGTTGGGGCTATAACTCAAGGCCTCTGTCTCTACAATAACCCATCTACCGCCTCCCACTGCAGACAGCAGAAACAGGGAGGCTCCCTACACAGCTTGCGAGCTTACTGACCCAGTGAGGTGCAGGACGCAGGTCCCGTGGGACCCAGTGGGAGCTGGATGGAGGAGTATGCTGTGGTGACATGGTGACTGACAGGATAAGGGAGCGTCTGTGATTTTCTTGATCAGAATCCCTTGGTGAAGATCACTGTTGGTTGTGATAAAATCCCTTTCTCACAGCCCTGTAGTGGCTTTTGACTTCTTAGACTTCCTAGTAGCCTGTGTTACCACTTCTGTCTCAACCATCTACCTGGCCACCATCTTAGCCCCTCATCCCGAGGCTGACATTTGGACTCTAGGTAGAGAAAATGGAGCCCTGGGGTCAAAGAGATGAGAGATCACTAGGATCACAAAGTGTGGATCATCATCAGGGGCTCCCAACTCAAATGTGAAGGGTGAAGTTGGGGAGGTGGTAAAACTGACAGGCGAGGAGCTGGAGAATACACGTTCCTTTCAAAAGGGCACCCAGTGCTCAGTGCCAGCTCACAGCTTCTGTGTTTCTAATCAGGTCCAGGGCTGGCAGATATTCAGGTGATTTTCCTAGATTCTGGAAATCTAGAATGCTAAGTAAATTCTCCTATTAAATATCAATGGCTATGTCAGTGCTTTATAAACCTCGATAGGTCAAAACAAACATGCAAAACAACTAAGTGAATGTGTTTTTCAACTTCAACTCTATAATTTTGAGTAAATAGACATAAAGGACACAGAGATTTGTGTAGAGTATCTTCATCACCAGTAAGGCCCAGTATATTTTCTATCTTTATGTGGAGGACAGAAAGACAGAGGAATTCAGCTGTTGCAGCAGGGGCTAGACAGAGCTTCCATGTTACCACTTTCAGGCAGGATCTGCTTGAATAGCCACCTCCCTTCCTCTGAGAAATAGTCTCACGTACCCCCATGGGCCTGGAGACAGGTGAGAACCTGGTGGACAAGGCCCTTGTGCAAAACTATCCCAAGACACCCAGGTTGGGGCAGGCATTCTAGATAGACCCTTGCCAACTAGCTAAGATCACATCTTCCTCTGCAGCCCAAGAAGGAATCCTGGGGTCTAAATGAGTGGGAATGCTAAGATTGTGAATTTTCTTAAACGGAAAGTCATCACAAACCTGGGTATATCATCTGTCCTTTGTGACAGTTTACTTGTGACCAAACTCACAAATTTCAGGACGTGATTAAGAAATATTTACAAAATAAAAATGAATGGGATGCACTGTGAAGTTCCCAAGAGAGGCTAGTATGCTCTACCTCTGGTCTTTATTTCCAGGGTATAGGTGACTGGGTTGGCTCCCCCAGCTCACATGTTCACTTTTGAGATGTTGGTTACAACACAAGGATCTTAGGATTGTCACAGTTTGGATTTGAGATAGAATAAGAGAGATTAAAAAGCCATGTTATCCAGTGGGTTAGAACCCAGATATTTTTAGCTCCCTAGCTGGTCATTGGGAGCCCCACTGGAGTAGTGTTTGGATGACACATAGCCAAGGTCTGTCCATCAGCATGAACCAAGAAATAAAGGATCTCCATGGGATCTTTGCTCTTTAGTCCATCACTATCCAGAATATGTGAAAACTGAACACTAGAGTTTTCCCTGCTCTCTCCTAATGTGGGACTGCCTGATTCCTTTCCACTGCATTACAAAATGAAAATTCAAGAGGTAGGCATAAAAACCAAATTCAAGGAAGAAGAAAGACAAAGAGGTGACCAGCAATCTGATATCCTGTGTCTCATGGGGTAAGAGCGGCTGGATCTTAAAGGCAGCCTATGACAAAATGAGAGCAGAAACAAGTCTATTTTTTTCTAGGTCACCATAGGGAACCAATCTAACCTATTTACATGTGGTCTCAGGGGAAATATCTTTAAATAGCTATCTTGTCACTATCCTTTTCGTCATCTTCCATGATCACTTTGGGCCTCTCGTCCCTGAGCAGTGTCACACCTGCAAAACAAAGCACAGACCTGCAATTAAGGAATCTAATTAAAATATTAAACAATCTTACAGCAGAGACATGGTACACGTGGGTGTGACAACCTAGAAAACTTTTAGTTTTTGCAGAACTTATGATGACAGATGCCAACCAGGGTAGAAGGAGTCGGGTGGCCTTACTAGGGTTTCCCAAGGCGGCTGTGGCTCAGTGAGGACACTACTCTAGTTACCAGGGAACTGGGATGCTCAGCATCTGGATACCTCTGCACGTGGGCTTGCCACACAGAGGGAAGTGCAGAGCTTGGAGTCTAGTTGCTTTGCTTGGAGTCTAGTTGCTGCTCAGTCTGCCTCCCCGCCACTGGGGAGCCACCTCAGTTTTCTCATATAGGAGTGAAGTTCACTAGCACTTGTGTAAAGGGCTATCGTGACAAGTATGGAGAGTGTCACTGCTTAGCACAGAGCCACCCCCCCTGAGCAATGAGGCCGGTTTTTCCTTTCCTCTCGCAATTTGTTATTTTGTTTTCCTACTGAGAAGAACTGGTAAGTAAACCTGAAGAAGTCAAACTTAAACAGATTTTACTAACATCTGGGCAAATTATTGAGCTGAGGCTCTGAACGCACCATATCTAAATGTCAGTACCAGCAGATACTAAAGTTTACATAGTTCAGAGCAGAATGAGAAAATTAGGAAAGTGTTGTGCATTTTTTGGTATGATATTTGGTTACAATTTTATAAAGTTCCTTATTTTCAGATGATTCTCTTATAAGATTTTAGGGATGGTAGGCAGTTGGGCTTTTCAAAGACCCTTTACCAGGCAAAATCAAAAGTGATGCTAATCCCTATATTATGATCCAGCATGCTTTGCTTTTGAAAGTTTACTCAGCTTGAAATTCAGAAATCTGTACATAATTATCTAGGCTGGTCCAAGAAGACCCCCCAAAGAGGCCATCCTGGGTGACACAGGGCCACTTTAATAAAACCACAAGGGCACTGTGATTCAATGCCAATCTTCTTAGATTTCTATCAACCCGCTCCAGTCAGCCAGTTTTGCATCTCTACCACTGCCTTCACCACCCCCTTTCCTTCTCATAATTAAAGGCCTTTCCATTCATGAAGCAGTTCATAAAGATCTAAATTTGAGGGAGGAAAGCTGTGCACCACAAGAGGCCCTTTCTACCACACTGGACTCCATTCAACAGCAGCAAATTAATGAAAACTATGTGCTGATCTTAATGACTATTCATTTGATTCAGTTTCTAGTTTGTTCATATGGGTTCTTTACCAATTAGCTGATATTTATTGGAGGAGAAAAACAATTTCAAGAGTCTGGCTGAAACTAAGGCTTTTGCATAAATCACTTATGAGACACAGTGGGGGATATTTGCTCTTACAACAGCTGCTTAGAATTTGGATTCTTGTTTGGAATTAAGGCTATCTTGGAGGGGGAACACAGAATTAGTATGCTAAGCCCCTAAAGTTTCTACCCTGCTTTCCTTAATATCTCTTTAGATTAAGCTAAATTTGGGCTGATTGAAAGTGGAGAAGAACCTTGAACCTTTAAATTTTGAGACTGTTCAACTTTCTTGTTATTTTGAGCAGCCTTGAAACTTAGTCATAGGAGCATCTGTACAAAAACAAAACAAAAGGTTCTGGGATCTCAGAGGAGGAAGAAGGGAGAAACCTGTTTAATTATCAAGATCAAGGTCAGCCCTTTCCCAAAGTGGGTTAGGTTTTCCACCGTGGCAAAGGAGATGCTTTCAAGTGGAAAGTGAACAAGTATTTTGTATCAGCATTGCAAGGCATGAATTTTAATGTCTTATAAAGAAAAAAAATCAGTAGCTCATCAAAATCTTGATTTCAAGGACATAGTTTTTTAGGATGAGACTAAAAGTTCTTAGGAATGTTGTCAGAGACACTAGGACTTTGAAATAGAAGGGAGAGAGAGAGAGAGCAATCAATTGATTGAGCTTCTAAGCAAAACAGTAGCACCTAAGGGTCATCATTGTGTTCTTACACTTGCCACTGCCTTATCATTGGCTTTGGTGATTGGCAGAAGAACAAGCGTCAATAAGCACTGGTGTGTTCGGTTTAACCCCTTCCTGATGATACTCATGCTCTCTCTGGGAAGCTGTGGGATGTCCCTGAAAGAAATAGACTTCTGATGCAGAATACTGTGCTTTAGGTGATTATACAACTTTGGGCAGGTCATTTAAACCAATCTGACCCTCAGTCCATTCATCTGTAAAATTGAAGTGTTGGGAATGTTGTGAAAAGTAAGTTCTCACTAAACAGCTCGCCCCCTCTGGAGCCATTGTTCCTGGAAGGTGCTGGCTGGGTAGGTTCCCAGAGATAAGCCTAGATTTCTGCTTGACCAAAGTAGTTTCCAGTGCCTGCTGTATCCCTAATATCTGGACAAACAGGAATTTGCAGGCACCCACCAGCAACGGACTACTCAGTGGAAAATCCCCATCCCTACTAACTGCCCTTATAAGCACCATTCTGTAGATCTCAGGGATCCTTCCTTGAGGGGTGCGCCTGCTGTGTCAGGGCAGTAAAGGAAGGATCCTGGCTCGAGCTGGCCTAATAAAGTCTTGTTTGCTTTTGCATCGGACACGGGTCTCGGTCATTATTGAACGCGGCAATATTTTAAACCCCAACAGAAGAAAAATACTTTTTTAGCGGCTGATACCACTAGATCAGGCAAAATGCTTTTATGTTTCCATTCCACCTTACTTCCACTTCTTATTGTGAGGATCATTGTACTTTGCCAAGCACCTCCTTCACTGAATTGTGAGGTTTTCAAAGGATATGCTAACAAAGAGCACAGAACTCATAATATCATGGGGGTTTAGAACAGTAGTTTCTACTCCTTCACTCTCTGTGAAGAAGAATTGAGCAACTTAACTGTCTTGGTATGTTTTTAAGGCCAAAGCTGTCAGTTCAAGATCCTTCAGGGCCAGTCAGCCTGCAGCAAGCTGTGGTCAGTCATGATCCCACCCAGAGCATCTAAATCATTAAAAATATGAACCTCTGATCTAAAAGAGAGAGGGCTAAGATTCCACCTTTCCTGTAAACCACTCCAGAGGCAATGCTCTGTTCCCAGCAGGCCAGAAGAGGTGTCACTTTCAAAGCACAGATCCCCCCACCTACAAGTACAGTACTGGGCTTAACCTCTACACGTTCATAGCTCGTGAGTCAGTTTGCAGGAGGCTCCTCTTCAGTGCTTCCAACTTCATTCTTCAGCTCCCCTGTTTTGTCTTTTCCCCACGCATCTCAACTAGAAACTTTTTTCTCTTATAAGCAGGTTGAAGCTCCCTAACTCTGACCAATCACAATCCATTGCTCCTGTCATGCAGCTACATACGTGGGAACAAGTTTTGAGCAGACCTTGGGCTGGCAAAGAAGGCTGAGACTACGCCTCACTAAGGAGTTGTCTGGCAGTTGGAACCTGTCAAATAAGCTCATTAACCTGGGGGAGTGAAGGTAGTTAGCAAGAGATTTAGAAGAGAGAGTGAATCTGTGTCCAGTCTTCACTTGCCAAGGGCTAATGAGAGGAGTTTCCTCTGGAGTGCATTTGTCTGTGAGCTTCTCTCAACACCCTTGTTAGAACCAATGTGAGTCTCTCTGAACATCTGCTGAAGACTATCCTTATCAACTTAACTAGCATTTCGATTACTGCCAAATCTTTAGATACTAAAAGGCTCTTCAAAAATAAAGTGTTTCAGCTAATATGCTAATAAAAGCTAGAATCATAGTACACGATCTATAATTGCAAATACTTGCAACACAGAGTTTTGCTGATTCAAGGGTTTCCATAATGTGCACTGAGTCTATGGATATACAGCTCCCATCTTCAGTTCTGTGTATGCTGTCTTGTTTGGTAAACACTTTTATTCTCCCAGAAAGCAGCTTTCTTTGGATATATAGATTGTGATCTAGGCAGCATGCATTTTCAGGTAAACAGAGCCCAACTCCTTAGGAATGTCCTTGAATCAGCAGATTTAGAGAAAAAGATGAAACATTACAGCCAGAAACATTCTCACCTATCTCAAAGAACAAGATTGGACAGATAATGGAGGGGAGCTGGCATGGATTGAAGACTTTCAACGAGCCAGGAAATGTGCTAAGTGCTCTATATACTTTATTTAATTGTGTTGACAACTCTGGCAAACATATTTTCTGGACCTTCTTCAGAGATGGATGAAACAAAGGATGCTTATACAGTTTGTGAGAGTTGCTTAGAGTCACAAAGCTAGAAAGGACAGAACAAGAGGTGAAACCTAAACTTTTCTAATTCCCATGTTCTCATTCCATGCTGTGTAATACGGTGACTCACTGCTCATTTTTGTTCCCCTATCAAGCTTTCTCCTAGACCAATTTCAATAAAAAGAGATACAAAAACGAGCAGAAAATAATAAAGAATTTGCAGCCACAGACTTGACTACCACATAGGAAATTGAATCCACATCTCCTTATTGAGCACTGCCATATAGAAGGAACTGGACTAGACAACAGGTCAATCTCACCAACACAAGGCAATCAACATTCTCGTACATTCACCAAACAAGTTGTTGATGTAAATTAATTTAAATATGAGAAACAAGAACAGTACTAATAGAGACGGGGTCTACGGCCATACCACCCTGAACGCGCCCGATCTCGTCTAATAGAGACGGGAATGCAAAGGTCTTTGCATGGCCGGGGTAGCGCAGTTAGTTCAAAATCATAAAGGTTCACTTTGGACTTGGACATGCCTATTAGTAAAGAGTTTGAGGAGACAGGATCCTGAAAGCTGACTGGAACTCAGAGGTAGAGCTTGAAGAAAAGTGTGATGGGCTGGAGGACGAGTGTGGGTTGGAATGTCTGTAATCGATGAGGATAATGGCTGGGACAGGTTCAGCTGCTCGGTCTATTTCTCTACAGAAGGGCCTTCTCATGTCACAGCCTAGCTCTGCTCCTCCGAAGACAGTGACCCTAACTTCATCCTTGACTGTAGACTGTCTTCTTTGAGCTATCTTTCCAAATAACTAGAAACATGACTTAGAATAACAAGCAAATCTCACTTCCTCCTCAAAGTGTTCTTCTGGTCCTTAGCGTGCTATACATATAAACCATAGCACAGAAGGATGAAAAACTACCCAAAGGGGAGAGAAACCTGGGTTTGAATCCCAGCTCTGCCAAATACTAGTGTTCAATGTTGGGCATAACTTTATCCATTCATGACAGTCACAGACCCATAATCAGAACAGCCAGCCACACACTCAGTGATCCATCTATCAATTTCATTCACATAAGACTTTAAAGAGGCTGAATATGTTACTTAAATTTTCTCCCAGTTTCTTTCTTTGTAAATGAAGACAAGTTATTTTATTGTGTTATTGAGTTGAATTTTAAAGTCTTTGAAACATGCCAGTTACAAACTAACATTTAGTAAGATCTCAGTAAACATCAGTTCCTTTCCTCCTGTGCAACTCCCATCTACAAAACACACACACCTCAGTCCGGCTCTCATCATGAGTATCTGTCTTCCTCTCCAACTTGCATGTCAACTCCTCAGGGACAGAACTATATGTCATATACTGCCTGATCACCTGGGCTTGCAAATATGGCACGGTTTGGGGGCTTGATTGGACATATATTAAGATAGCTGTGAGCACAACTACATTGTTCTTTTCGTGTCTCTCTCTCTTTCTCTTGTTTTGAGGATTTGTTCAGTATGTTCAGGAGTCTTGGGAGAATCAGCCATCAGCCACAGGATGCACGATCCATGGAAGAATGGAGAGGAGAGGAGGGCATTTCAGCTCCTCCTAAGGACCCACTGACATTTGTGTTTCATTGGCTCAGGGAATTTTACCAGTTCTGCTGAAGCATGAGTAATGCTTTCCCCCTCCCAAGTATCTAAGTCAGCCCCTGGGGAGCCGCCAGTAAAGGTAAACCTGAAAGGCAGCAATAAACGCTGCTCTTCCCCAGAGCTCATCCATGCGACCCAGATTGCTGGGCCAGGAGAAAGCCTAAGCCCGCAGCACCTCCAGATGGCAAGGCTCTTGACCTGTTCCTGTCACCCCCTGCAAATGCCCTGCACCAGCTCTTTTACCTGCTGCAAAGGGGGACATGTGCAGGGCAGGTGTGTCTTTTCTCCTTGGCTTTTTCTGTTCCAGGTCAGTGTTATGAAGAGCTGGACTTGTTTTGCCCTTTGGATGTCTCTCTTGGACATCGTATCTTGTAATTAAATGTTCTGAAAGCACACCTGCATAGTTAGAGGCAGAGAGGGAGAGACAGGGTCAAATATATACTTTATCCTAATACTTGACAGACAACTGAGCATCCATGTTAGCACGTGTACCTGTACTAGCAGTCAATATCCCTTTAAACTTATTCTAAAAGCCATTTCTTTATAATAAGAATTAATAAGACCACACAAGAGACGACCTCCTATGCAAAGGTTTTTCACATGCCTGATTTTACTTTTGCCTCACAAGGCCCTGAGGAATTTCATATCACTACTATCACGCACCTGAGGACAGTGAGCTGAGGTAACGCAGGTAGCACAGCTCATCCCGGTGTCAGAGCCAGGTGTGAGCCCAGGCTTGTCTGCCTCCAAAGTCCATCCTGGTCAGCACGGTGGGTCATCTGCTGTTCTGCGAGCCACCTGCCACCCACCTCGACAACTTCATTAGTATTCTACCTGCACCCACCTGCCTCTCATCTCTCTTCAGCATGTGAAAATTTTCTCCATCATTTACAAATGTTCAAAAAAAAAATCAATGTTCTAGAAAACATTGCGTAATTCCCACCCCAGATTGAGCTTTTGGGCGTCTTTATCTAAGGACCTCCATTATGTCGCTTCCGAGTGAGTATTTCAGCTATTTGTGTGCTTCTGTTATGTCTTATAAACCAGAAAGCTCCTTCCCAGCAATCTCTGTGTGCCATTTGTTTTGTATTCTTCTAACTGGATTCTGAATAGAGAGAATATGAAATAAATGGTAAGAAGCAAAGGGGAAAATGAAATAAAACCTTTAAGAATAAGAGTATCATGTGCCACGTGTGAAGAAGCTGTGTGCCAAGCTGTTTTGCTTTTCTGCTGGGCTACATTTGCCAGCCTTTCTTGCAGTTGAGGGAAGGTTGTGACAGAAGGAAGTGACGTATTCTACTTCCAGGCCCATTAACCCCGCATCCTGTCTCCCCCATGTATGCCAGCTGTGGAAGCTCAGGATGATGAGGGGAGCCACATGCGGATGGCCCGGGTCCCCGAGTGGCCGTTCGGAGCAGAGCCTGCATTCCCACCCTGACTTCCACCATGCATAAGTGAAACAAACTCAGCTGTGTTTGTTATGTTCCTAATATTCTGGATTTTATCAGGTATGGCAGTGGATAATTAAGGCAGATACAGGGAGTGCAACAATTACTACAAAGTACCGAATGTTTAAGGAAAAATGCATCAAAACAATGTGATCTCATGGCAAGAGCTTTCCCTTCAAATGTATGCAAACAACCTCACTGTTCTTACCTGGTATAAAAGGCGGGATGTGCAAGGCTGGCGTGTCTTTCCGCCTGGGTTTTTTTTGGTCTGACTCAACATTCAGAGTGACTTGAACATTTTTCCCCTTTCTTGGCTTCCTTTTGAGATCACAGTCCTTAATGAACTGGTCTGACAGGTCATCTAATTTTGACAGGTTGTGCAAAAATAAAGAATATAACATGTGTAAGGGTCCATTCACAAACTGGTTAGTTTCCAGTTATAGCTGGTGATAAAAGCAGAAGCCGTTTAGTCTGAAAAAGCAAAGTATTGATTTATTTGGCCCTCTTCTGCAAATCACTGTAATAGCCCTCTCTGAATACATATACTAACATAAAAAGAAGTCCATAACCTAGCCCAATTTGCAGATGTGAAAAGTGAGGTTCAAAAGAACAAAAACAAAAAAAAGAGTATATTATCTGCTGGCAGGTTACAGGATCATCGCTAAACCCAGCGTCTTGGTACTATTTATCTTAATACCTGACAAACAAAGGAATTGGAAAAATTTATTACCAGGTAGCATAGTTAACTTCCTCCCGAATACATAGCATAGCTCTTTTTTTTTTTTTTAAATAAATAAATGTTGCTCAGAATGGATGTTGCCCAGCTGTGGGGTCCCTGGAGGGACAGGCTGGTTGTGAATCTGTCAACCCCAAGAGGCCACTCAGGGCACAATACCGAGAGCAAGGCATTTGCTTCAATTTTGACTTTTACTTCAATTACACTTTTTCCCATTTTTGGAGAAATCCAGAACATAAAATATCTTGATGGCAAATAGGGAGAGGGGAGTAGAGGGGGAGTCATAACCAGGCGAGACATAAACAAAGACTATGAATATGCAAAAGGCCCATCCATCAAAAGTCTGAGTGTCTCATTTTTAGAAATGGGTAGAGGCAGAAATGTTTCTGGTATTTTCATTACAAAGGTTATGCAAAAAGTCAGTTCTGGAAAGGAAACAGATTGACAATAAAGCAGAAAAAGGCTATTTAAAATTCTGTCTTGATAGGCAAAGAGAGATATTTGAAATATTTTATTGGCACTGCACGTGGAGTATAAGTGTGCTGGGAAATACTAGAAACAAGCTATACTGCCACATTTCATTTATTGCCTCAAAAATGCTCTGCCTGGGACTCGGTCAGACCAAAAAAAATGGGGACAGTGCCTTTTATCATTTTTTTTAACTCTAATAAACTTCTCTCCAGTGTGTTAGCTAATATTTACATGGCAGACCACACAGACCCCTGGCTATTTGCCTGTCCATCTGGTGTTGGCTGTTACCACAAGACACAAACTATCAGGATTCAGGGGCCTCCCTCTGATTTCCCTGCAAACCAAATGGTAGAGATGTCCCCTTATTGACTTCCACTCTGACATGCAGACTGAAGCCTTTACCTAAGTGGCTACGACGAGGTTCAAGCTTGTCCAGTCTGTCCTCTGAGTGCTCCAGTGGCTGCATTTGCTCGGTGGACATCATCAAAGGAGGGCTGGTGTGGAGGCTTCTTCTCCAGCACTGAGAAGCAGAAGAAAAATCTGACATCTGCCTCTTTTCCATTTACTCACTTTTCAGGTACATGTATTGAGCACGTACTATTATGTTCCTTCAATCCTGTTTTTGAAGTCTGCTTTTTACACTTAGCTACTAGACGCTCTGAACCTAATATTTAAGGCAAAATAAATGAATCTCGATTGTATGTACGTCTGCGCACACATGCACACTTGGATTTATTAGTAACTGTCATATATCAGTTGTTTAGCAACTGCCTTCCCTCATAGGCACAGTGGAAGTTTCAGAATGAACATTATAGTCAAATCTGAATTAGAAATGAGTTTACTGAAAGTTACAAAATATCGAGCTTGTATTTTCTCTGTAGAGTTAGCAAAGTAGAATTGTACCTACTTTATAGACCAGGAAACTGAGGCTTTAAATATCAAAATTAATTTAATCACATTTGTACAAATAGACAAATATGGACCCAAATCAAGTTCTGCAGACTTCTATTTGATACCCACAGTCTTTTAAAACTAAAGCAAACCCTTTGAGCTCTAATTGAACCAGGCTTCACTTACTTTTCTACCTTGTATCCTTGAATGTGAAGTAATGAGTTTGCTATATGTCAACAGTGGTAGACACATGCCAGGGGGAAATAAAGTCTCGTTACTGAATGGCTTTCTATTAGTAAAGCAAGTCTGTTTCCCCATACCCTATTTTTCCTAGACCACAAATCCATTGAATTTATAGAGCTATTAGCTGTAGCTATTGTCCAGGAGGACTGGAAATTCAGAAAAGACATGTGCCGAGATTGAACAAGAAATACATTTTATAATATTTATATAATATCTCATTTTGTTTCTTGAATTTCTTTCAGATAATCTACATGTCCTGGCCTACCATCATAAGAATGGTTGGAGCGGAAGGAGAGAAAATGATCTAACTGATCCTCTTTTTTTGAGATTCCAAGGTCCCCAGCACACAGATCTTCCATGGACGAGTGGTATTAACATTTCAAGCTCATAGACCCAGTTCAACTCATTTGTTTCTGAGGAATAAGCCTCTGAGAAGGCTGGAGGGTCTCTCCTCCTACAAGCTGAGATCATAGCACAGCAGATGGAGTCATTAATGGGTTTCTTGAACTCAGCTTTTAGTGCCACTCTGAGCCGCTGATAGTCCTGAGTGACTTCAGCAAAAATCAATCTGACCATTGTTTTCAGTGTTTGCATACAGACTGCCGACTCCCTGGGACCTTCAGGAAGCTCACTATTATCTTGGGGGGCCAGCCCCCACTGGCTTAAGTGGAGAGGACAGCAATGGGCATATTACAGGGGATGTGTGGGCTCGGTGCTGAAACCAATAGTAAACTTACAACCCCAAATTTGGCCTGTGCACCTACTCAACTCATCTTTCTCTTTTGACAGAAAGTCACGAGTTCAGTCAGGGACTCTGGGCTGCCTATCACCCCAGAGAAGATCTGGTTAGACTATTCACTCTCTAGAAGAAGAAACTGAGGTTCCCAGAGGTTAAAATGACCCACCATTGCATACAAACTAAGGGTGACCAACTCAACTCCAGCCCCTCCCTTCTGTTCAGTCTAGGTCCTGTCTGTGTGACGCCTTTCGTCTCCAACCTAACACATGCTGGCTTTTTTACTCAGACCACATGGCTGCTCCACGTGCTCAGTAGGTATTGTTTAGACTGAGCTCTCCATTCAATAGATGTAGGTTAAGTCTCAGCTCTTTAAAATCCATATGACTTTGATAAAGTCTCTAAATCTTAATGATGCGGTGAGGACAAATGAAACCTATGCTCAATATAGTTATTTTTTGTCCTTTCTCTCTCCAAGTTCCAATTGCTCTGATAGAATATGTAGCCGCTTGCTTCTTTGTGGTATGTACATAAACTATGGCCTTCCCTGCCCTCCCCTTTCTTACACTGTCTTTCTTATCTGTAAAGTAGAGATAATAGCATCTACTTTGTAGAATTACCTGTAAGGTGACACTGGTAGCTCCATGTTTGCTGCCATGTAGTAGGCATGGAGAGCCCAGCAGCATTGTTATGTGACTTTGCCTACCCACGCTAGCTCACAGAGACAACTGCCTTACCAGGAAAGTTCTGGAAAATCACCAGAACCTTCATTTTTATCTAGATGCTGAATCAGGGGAGAAAATTAGCTTTCCTCTGAGCAAAATGGCTTTCACAAAGCAAGACTTGAGAGACAAGAGCCTGCCTTTTTGGAAAGAATTATGCAAATGTTAAAAGTCTCTGGACAAGGTGAGGGTAACCAGTGATGAGTTCCAAAATGGACACATGTATCCTCCCCAAGAGAGATCCCAACTATTTTAAGTTGCCCTGAGTCTCTGTGGGTAAACAACACTATTTTAAGTCAGTGTGACTGTAAGAATCACACTGGTGCTGGGCGGGCAACCTCTGTGTGCTCGGGACCTGGAGGCTGAGTCTCAGACTGAGCATTTCACATGTACACACACTGTGCTGGGCAGGTTGTGTTCTGCCAGTGGAGTCAGAAACTGCTTTCACCATGGATGACGTCACTAGGGACTTCTTGCTAGAAACCTCACATTAACCTCACATGAGGTTTCTTACTACATAAGAGTAGTTACATGGAGGGATCAGATAGTTGGAGATTAGCATGTCTTATTTCATTAACCTGCCTGTTGACTGTTAGCATAAGATGAGCCCACTGTCTCCCCACACTCCATTTTTATCTCAGTGAGAGGGGTACTCTTCATGATTGAGCTACTGGAAGGCGTAAACCAGTCTGATTATAACTAAGAAATGAGTATTTTCCCTCCTATATCTGACTGCCTAAGTATCTCTAATTCAGTCTCCATGTTCAGCACCAAGCCCAGTCAAGGGACAACTGTACTGTCCTGCTGCCTGGGACAGGTGTCTTCGTCTCCCGTAGCAACTCACTGTTATTGGGACTCTCTGAAGCTCTTTTTTTTTTCCCACGCCTACATACCTGGTTCCCTGGGTCTTTGGATTCCACCCCAAAAACTCAGACCTTCACAGATACTTTGGGTGATTCATAAACTCCTGTCTTGCACAAAGATCTGTGACCTTTAGCTTTCTGGCTGCTTGTTGACTCAGTTGTGGCCTCTGAGCAATGGCAGCGGGAGAACTCCTTGACCTGCCATCGATATGTCATATCAGCAAGCCCAGCCTCACTTGAAACACTTGAGGCCACCTGCACCACAGCCCCCAGGAAAATGTCTGCAACACCCCCAGATCGCAGGAAGCACTGCAGCTACCTGTACTACTTTTGCAGCAAAAATATGAACAGAACATAAACTGGCATATAGAAAGATGTAGAATGATTTTTACCTTTTCGTATCAGGGTTTGCTACCGAGTGAGTCTATGTTGAACTCTCTATCAACAAGAAAGCCTTTTGCTTTTTGGAGGAATACTTCTGATTATTTTAGTAAGAGAATAAAGGATTATGGGCTGGTATTTTTCTCATTGCTGTTTTCGTGGGTCCTGGGTTGTTTTGTAACAGGGTGGTCCCTAGGAAAAGGGGAAGTTCCAGGTTCCCTGCCCCACCCAGAGGGAGGGTGGAGCTGAGCAGAGAAAAAGGAGAGAAGAGAAGGAAGGAATCAGAGAAGAGAAGGAAGTGGGATGGATAGCCAGGAGACCTGAGGAAGCCACATGGCGCAGTAGGCATGTGATGAAGAAACTGGGCTTGTTTCCTGACCTTGGACTGGTTAAGGCAGATGTGGGTGAGATACCTGTAAGGAGGTGACTATGGCAGTGTTTAATCTTGATTTTGATTTTGCTCTTTTCCTCCCAGATCTGTCTGGCCATGTCTGACCCTTTTCCATGGGTCATGGCCAGAAGGTGCTTTAGCCTTGTGGTGGGCTTTCAGGCCTTGCTTTGGGCCAATCCCTTTTGGGTTGACTTTTGCCCACGAGGGGATGGGTAACTTCAGGTGTTTGATTTAGAAGTTATATTCTTTGTGTTCCGTATTGTATATTCACTGTATTAAAGTCCCTTTTCATTAAAGTTTTATATGTTTTGTCTTGTTGCGGCGGATGGCAGAACCCACTTAGAGAAGGCAGGTTTGGGGCTTCAGGGATGCCCCTCTCTCCTTGTCCTGTAACAACAGATTTGGTGTCCTGTAACAAATTGATGCAGCGTGTTCAAGAGACCAAAAGGGGTCATTTCAGGAGCTTCAGGACTAGAAATGCCAGCACTCTTACAAGTACCTCTGGCTGATTTCTACATTCCCTTTCACAAAACCCTTCTTTTCACAGAGACACTGAGAAATGTACACACCTGAGAGGGAGACACATTAACTGGCATCACAATAGAAGAGGGGTTCAAAATTACAAATGCCACTTCTCTTATGAGAACAGAAACTGAAAGTCCAGGAACGCAAGGCAAGGGAAGAGCTCCCCTAGGCTAAGGATGGTACCCCAGAGCAGCCAGAGACTGAGGACACACTTGGGGGAAGCTGCCTCAACCCACCATCTCAGAGTTAGCTGCTGCCACAGGACAGCTCTGCTATTTCCCCAGCTAGCGAAGCCTGCTCGGTTCAACTTGAGGTCAGAAGCAGTTGTGGGCATCTTTTCCTTTCTCTAAGTAGTGCTCTCTGGAATAGATTTCCCAGTTGGATTCTAGGATATGTAGTTTAACTCATGGACACAAAATTCTTCACTGACTGTGTCTGGTATTGTGAGGGAATACGAGGAAGAGGCAAATGTTGGAGGTTTTGCATCATTCTTTAGCTGGGCAAATATAGGGAAGTTACATGTCCTGTTGGAAACATAGCTCACACCTCTGTAAATTGGGCATGATAGTGGCTTCTCTGAGGTTTTTCTGAGTGGATTTGTACAATCCATGTTTGGAAGGCTCCCAGACCAGCAAATTCTAACAATGGGACTTGTCATCTTGGCTCTCTCAGTCCTCACATTATGATTAAACATGTTTATCTAAATTGAGCCATTGGATTCATCTCATCCCACCTCTGACCTTCCCTGAAACTAACCATAAGATTAGAACAGTCACGAAGTACAGACCAGCACTGAGCCCAATTCCAGGGTTTGAAGCTGTGGTGCCGCTGACTGTTAGGAGACAGTTATGCTCAGCCCTCGGGCTAGCTAGAGAATCTATATTCCCAAGTAATCTGGCTGACATTATGGAGTAATACCTGATGGGAATACCCCAAGGTAATCTCAGTTAAAAATAAATAACTGAATTAAGTAAGTTAGGAAAAAAATAATCAGATGGATTTTCTTGAAGGTATATATAAAGTTAGAAGGTTGTGCTCACAACCCAATATGATGTCTGGTTAACAGAAAATTCATATCCTTTGTCAAATCTCATTTTATCCTGAAGATTGAATTCAGGTCAAAAAGTGCCATATTTTAAAATCAAATTTATTCATTTAGAAGACCTAAATTTATATTCCTTCAGGAGTGACTCTTAAAGTAAGGCTTGCATATTTTTTTTTTTTTTTTTTGCCAAGCACATTTCTTCCTCTTTTATTTCAGCCTCCACCCTCAGCCTGGAAAGATTAACCTCCCCAGGCTATATGAATATGCAGATACCCCAAGCTCCTCTGGAAACTTCCCAATTTAGTTTGTAAAAGGACTTGTACAGAACCAGGACTCCACTTCCCTTGCAAAAATGACTCCAAAGTGGTGACTCTTCCAGCTCCCTTTCTAGGGCCAGCTTTGCTACCTCCGGAAAGCACAGCCAGCCCCACCCCCACCCTCAACCCCTACCCCACCCTGGCACCAGCTGAAATTTTCTTTGTCCCAGCAACCATATAGGGACTCTAACTTATTGAAAACTTGCTTTTCTCATCACAAAAGTTTGTGAGATAAAATTCCTTAAAGCACTTACCAATCAAGGCAGGCGCTGGGCCGCAGGGGTGAGAGATGGGAAGGGTGAGCTTGCTCCCCAGGCTGGGCCAGCTCTGCAGGCAGTGGCTGAGGCTGCCTGGCTCCAGCTCTCTTATCAAGGGACCAGCTGCCGCTGTTGCCATGGGGATGCTCTGTTTCTCAGGCGCCAGGGCAAGGGGGATGGAGAGGGAATGAGGACTAATCTCACAGCCACTACTCCCAGCTGCAATAATTGTCCATTACAAAAATACAATACACAGAGTTGTGTTTTGAGTAACTGGTGTGCAGCCTGGAGAAACCCAGACACATCAGTTAGAGCCTTTAGCCCCTATAACAACACTATGTATTTGGGGGTTCCAATGCTATTGATCTGGCTTCTTTTGCAGATATGGAAACTGAGGCGCACAGAGGTTGTGATTTGCCTAGTAGATGCCATCACTAATTTTGATCTTCAAATCTTTGTATGTTCAAATTCAGAATTCTTTCACTCACTACTACCACCTCTTTGAATAGTATCATGAAGAGGGGATGAGAAATAATAGTAAAGGAGATTAATAACAGAGACCCTTACAAAAGTTCTCCCATGCAGGAGGTACTCTTCTTCACTACACCTATTAACTGATTTAATCTCATAATAGCCTTTACAGACAAGCTGCTGTCACCACACCCATTTCACTGATGAGGAAACAGGGACACCGAGTCCAGAATTACCAGTCCATGTCTCACTGCCAATAAGTGACTAGAGCTGGGGTTTGCACTGGGCCACTGAATGCTGGAGGCCTTTGCTCTCAACCACTCTGCAGTACTGCTTCACGTGGCAAAGGAAGCAGCTCTAGCTATCTAGGAAGGGGCGGTTAGGGAAACATGCACTTTCAAAACAACTAAGACAAGCATTGCAACATTAAGAATTCCTATGCACTGCAGAAGACCCCGGACCAAGGTTGGTTAAATGAGCAAGGGGTCTTTAGTGTGATTGTGTGTATATGTGTGGTATGCACACACAGGTGTGCTGTCAAGTAAAGAGGAAGGGTCTGTGTTTGGGGGAAACTCACCAGAGAAGTATCCTGTGCTGATTTGGAGGCGTAGAAGTTTGTAATCTTTGGAAGGAAGATCAGTCTAGGGATAAGGGAGGAATCATTGCTGGCTGGAAGATTACAGTAGCTTCCCGCCTAGTGGGCACCCCCAGGATGCCAGGGAGGGTCCTCACAGAAGAGCTGAAGTGCTGCCTATGCTGTTTCCTTTCCTTCTCGAGGTTCATGAAGCGCAGGTCTAGGCGACCACTGGCCACCAGTGATAGGTTGGCTGATATCACCTTTTTATTTTCTAGCAACTCCAGGAATAGGGCCGAAACATCCTAATTATAATAGCCGTAACAATGCTGAGCCACTAATCCTGAACTTGACTCCCATGGCAGAGTTTCTTTAAAGACCATGGTAATAAATCACTAGGCAGTGTGCTTCCTTGTTTGATCTAGTTCCCGGATCTTCTTAGTCATTATTGGAACCTCCTGGGAAAAGATGGAGGCTGCCTAAAAGGTAGTGCTCCTGGCTAGGTAGGAAGACACCTGGATGCCAGGGAATGTCGGTAGAAGTAGTTCTCTGTTTCAAACTGCTGGCCTTATCTTCTTATCAATAGCTTCACGGGTCAGTGGGTTAGAGATAGCCTCATTCCCAAACTTGAGAGTGGAAAAATATACTTTCTTCACAAATTCTTCAATACTTTGTCACAAATAAAACTTTTTTTAGATAATTACAGATTCACATGCAGTTTTAAAAAATAATACAGAGAAAGTTCCCTCCCTGGTTGGCGCAGCGGGTTAAAGCACAGCACTAAGAAGCTAAAGCCACTTTCACATGAGTTCAATACCCGCCTGTCCCGGAGGTGCTGCAGACCTCTCCTGACCCACCCGCTGCTCCCCTCAGCAGCGCACTTCATCAGTGGGCCTGCTCCCTACTCTGTCTCTGGTGAAACATCTCACGGCCCCTGCACCTCTGGCCTGTACCCCATTTCTGAATGCACAAATAAATAAATCTTTAAAATAAAAAAAATAATAAGGAGACAGAGAAATCTCCTGTATCCTTTCAGCAATTTCCTACACCAGTATCATCTCGCAAAACTATAGCACACTATCTCAACCAGAATGTTGCTATTGATACAGTCAAAACCCAAAACAGTCACACATCCATAGATACCCCTCACTGACCCATATAAGACTCCCCCTTTCCCTCCCCTTTCTCACTTCTCTTACCTCTATCCATTCCTGGCAGCTACTAATCAGTTCTCCATTTCAATAATGTCATTTCAAGAAAATGTAATACAAATGGGATCATAACCTCTTGGGTTCACTTTCTTCCTGTCTCAGCATTATTCCTGGTGATTCATCTGAGTTATTGTCATGCATCAATAACTTCCTTTTTATCCCTGAGTAGTATTCCATGATATGTACCAAGTTGAACCATTTTTTGTAGTAAAGCAACTGGGTAGTTCTTAGTGTTTGACTATTACAAATGAAGCTATTATGAATGTTCAGGCTTTAGTGTGAACAAAGTATTCATTTTGGGGAGATAAATGCCCAAGAGTAAAATTGTGGGCTCATATGGCTATCACATTTTTAATTTTAGAAGAAGCTGCTAACCCATTCCAGAGTAGCTCCCCCATTTCATATTCCCTCCTGTCTTTTATGAGTAATCCAGTTTTACATACCCTTGGAAAAGTTCGGTGTTGCTGCAAAGGTGTATGGTGATATCTCCCTGTGGCTTTAATTTGCATCCCTTGCTGACTAACAATGTTAAACAAATTTTTCATGTATTTATTGTAATCTGTATGTTTTTTGGTGAAATAGCTCTTCATATCTTTCATCCATTTTCTAATTGAATTGTTTATACTGTGTTTTTTAAAATATTGTATATATATTCCAGATACTAGTCCTTTATCAGAAATGAAGCTTGCAAATGTTTTCTTTCTTTCAAAAGTGAGTCTTTCGTAGAGCAAAAGTTTTTCATCTTTATGAAATTCCATTGTTTTTTAAATTGCATTTAAATCTTGTGTAGTTGAGGTTATTTCTAAGGCTCTTTAGAGATACTGAACTGTGTTAGGGATATTTGAACACTCTTTTATCACTTAATCCTCCAGTTCAAAAATGAATAGTATCCAAGAGTGTGTAAGTTCCTTATTTTCCCTTTGATTGACATGGATGCTTCTTCCAAGTTCAGGTTGTTGTTTTTTTCTAGAGCTTTCTATGCACCCTTTAATTGATTATGCTCAACCCCCCTTTTAAGGCAGATGTAAACAGCAACTGAGCTGGCAGATGGTAATGTAAATCTATACCTTGGAGAGTTCTAAATAACAGCCACATATGTGCAACGTTGAAGTCATAGACCCCTGGCCTACAGCGCTCTCCCTGTAAGTGCAAGGCGCTATTGTGTCCATGACATGATTTGTTTGTCCAGGAGCCTTTTGATGTGTGGCTGAATTACTGCTGACTCCATTCCTGATGGATGCCTAATGGTAACTAGCTTTAAATGAGTATATTTTCATTTGAGTCACAAATATTCAGTCTTTATGAATGAGAATGATGTAGTGATAAACATTTCCTGAAAATCTATTTCAGTCTATCAGCTGTAAAATGTGCACTTGAAATATTTGCCTTCTAAAATAAACTCAAGGCAGTTTCTTTGTCAAAGGGTGATGGGGCCCCAGTTTCCCAACTGAAAAAAAGAGAGAGATTGAGAGAGAGTGAGTGAGAGAGAGAGAAAGAGAGACAGAGAGGGGATGAATAATTTGGCAGAAATGAGTGGAGATAGACGATGAGGGATGATTTTGAAATGAAAGACAGAAAGTGATAAACTAAACTGAGAAATAATAACATAGTCAAATACCTAACCAGTCATCTATCCATCCATCCATCCATCCATCCATCCATCCATCCATCCATCCATCCATCCATCCATCCATCCATCTATCCACCCAAATGTCCATCAAATTGAACCTTGAGAAATAATGCATGGGCACTGTTAGGCATTGCAGAAATAATGGTACGTGTCACCATTATTTAAAATACAGTGTCACCACAATTTTAAATTCCCTTGCAAGGAATGTGGCAGAGAGAGCTGGCCAAAGACACCAAGTTTCAAAAGTTGGAAGAATGTAGTGATTTATCGACCCTTTTGAAAAACAACAAAACCATTACAATCTTTCTGTAGGGACAGAGTTATATGGTTTCTAGACCTTCTGATTTTAAATAAAACTGAATGTTTTATTTCTGGGCTAAATAAAAACATCTACCCAGGAATGAGAGCCGGCCCCTACTTTCACTGTCACTTGGCTGCCCTGAAGTTCTCTAAGGATGCACCGGGCAGGTGTCAGAACCGGACACTGTTCTTCCTGTTGCTTGCTCAGTGGGGTATCTGACCTGTGATACATTCCCAATTTCCACATCCACACCACATCCTTTATCTTACCTTTCTCACTGCCTTAATTTTCTCTCTTTTCCTGCAGCTGATTTCATTTCAAGGTTTGCCTACTTACGTACATTCCTTTCATGCAGTCCAGGTCCTGGGCTACTGGTTTGTCTTATGCAATAGAGACTCAGAACCAGAGCATACACTCATCTAAGGTGCCACAGTCTTACCTGAACTTTTGTCCCATTTGACCCAATGGATCATTACCACACTGATGTTGAACTTCATTTTCACCCAAAGCATCATAGGCATTCTCGCTTCAATTTCCTAACTATATTCTGCTTAATTGTCACTACAGCCACATCAGTTAATTTATTTTGCTTTATAAACTATAAATCTTTTTTCTAAATGTTAGAACCATTAGTCATTGCTGAGTAGCTACTCAAGAAATTGGGAGCAATTGAACTCAGGCTCTTTTCTCCAGAGTTAGTGTTTCTCATTCTACCTCACTCCATAGAGAGTGTGACATTTCCCAAGCTGTCTCTGTATTGACTGGTTTCCAAAACTTCATGCTCTTCTGTTTTCCTGCATCAATGAAACAGGCAGATCTGACCAAATATTTGTTCCCTCATGAAAATCAAGATGATTTCATTCTTTATGAGTAACATACTCTCAAAGCTGGACATCTGGCTACTGTATAAAATAGTGATCAGCCCTCAGCAGAACAGCGAGGGAAACATGTGGCTTTTATTTGGTTACTAATCCAAAGCTTTGTTTGAATATTAATTCTTTCACACACTCTTTGATGTTTAATTAAGTAAGCGTACTAAAGATGGGAAACAAACTGGAAATATGCTGACTAATGCAACTCTCAGTCATGAAGGATG